TTTTGTTTTGTTTTGTTTTGTTTTTTCTGTTTTTACTTTTATTTGCATGTATTTCATGCAGAGTTTACTCCCGGGCCATAAGTTTTTGTTTCTTCAGTTTCTTCTGGGATATCTTTTTCTTCTGTGCAGCCTCCTCTTCCGGTTTAGGAACAATCTGCTCTTTTTCAGTAAGGATCATCTCAATGTGGCAGGGAGAGCTGATGTATGGGTTAATCCGACCATGAGCCCTGTAAGTTCTACGCCGCATTTCGGGGGCTTTGTTCACCTGGATGTGCTCAATGACCAGAGAATCTACATCTAAACCCTTAAGTTCAGCATTACTCTCTGCATTTTTAAGCATGTGCAGTAAAAATTTGGCACTCTTTTTGGGCCACCGACCCTGTGTCCAGCCCCACTGTTTGGCCTGGGCACACCTACCAACCCCACCATTGTAGTGTGGGAATGGCACACATTGCTTCTGCAAAGTGACATCTTTCAGATACTTGGTGGCTTTTCGGATATGCATACCCTTGATGGCCTGGGCAGTTTCCCGTGTGTTCTTAAAGTGAACGCGAAGATTTGAACCTCTTGATTTGCATGATTTTGTCGGGTTTTCTGGGTCAAGGGAATAGCGAACCATTTTCAGAGATCACCTCAGGCCGCTTACGGGAAGAGCCCAATCCCATTTGAATCCCGCTCTACCTCTGCTCTGCGCTTAAAGCCTGGCTCACTAAACAAGGCGAGAGGAAAACACCAGGTTTTACTGGCTGCTTGTGCTATAAATGCCTAACCTCGGACCTAAAGTGCCAGCAGTCCTAACATATGAGCTCATCAGTTCACTCTCCCACTGCCCAAATTATATTTCTCAAATCTCCAAATACCATGTTTTCTGTTTTACTCTCAGATACCATCTGTGATATCTACTGCACTGTGGGGTGAAGGGGGGCGGGGGGAGCAGTCCGAAGGCATATCCTTTCACAACCAAACCTATTGAACGGCTTGCATCTATGCCTACACCTACTCACCCTTTCCTGCCATTGCAATGAGTGCAGAGTCCTTGCTTCTTTTCTGCCCTGTTTGCACCCATGTGCTTAGATTAGGGCATGGCATGCAGTCAACACTCAGTATTTTTTCAGTGGAACGATTAAGGCCAACTTCTCAAGAACTTCATCCCTGCAATTTGCCCCTTTCTCTTTGCCCTAATCCATTCTCTCTCTTTATTGCCTCAGAACTCTTCATTATATGAACAAACTACCTTGTCTTTCATCTTGAAGAAACCCTCCTTTGACCTTTCACCCCTCTCCAAATTCTGCCATATTTTCGAGGTCTTTAGAGTAGAACTCCTCCAAAGAACTGTCTAGACTTGCGGTCAACACTGCCTTTTCTCACAATCTCCTCTGAACCCCCTCCAAATAAACTTTTATCCCTAGCACGCTCCTGAAATCAGTCTTGTTAAGTCTGTTCATCACGTCTATCTTGCCCAAATCTAATAGTTAGTTTTCAGCCCCCCTCCGATTCAGCCTCTCAGCAGTGTTTGACATAGTTTACTGTCCTTTTTCAAGTACTTTCTATACTTGGTTTCCATGAGACCACACATTCCTGGTTTTCCTCCTGCCTCACTAGCCAGTGCTTCTCAGTCATGGTTGGATGCTATTCCATATATCTAAACATTGGTTTGACTCTGCTCCTCTGAAGCAGGCTTAATCCTTGGGTGATCCCACTGAGACCCATGGCCTTAAATTCCAGACACTGAAGTTTCCTAAATTTCTATCGCCAGTCCAGACCCATGCATTTAGCTGCTTATTGTCCATCTTATGGGCATCTCAAACCTAACCCAAATCCCAAAATGTTCATTCTCACATCCCCACCTACCCCTCTCATAGTTTTCCCCACCTCCGTAAACCGTATAACTCCGTTCTACCAGATGCTGAAGCCAAAAATGTTGGGCACATTCTTGCTGCTTTTATTCTCTTTACACCTTCAGTAAATACTACAGATGTATCAATTATAGAGCCCCTACTAAAGTCCCATATCCAATGTTATGCGACGATGAAGTCCAGGGCACGTTTCTGAGACTGGGTCATTGGGGC